GTCAGGATAGAGACTACTTTAACGCATTTGGCCACATGAGTGTCTAACAGGGAATGGGAATAAAGCCAGCAGTTTCCCCTTGGCTGCCTCATTCACTGCCCAGGTGATTTAAAACAAATGAAGTTACTTTAAAACACATTTTCTGTGACACAGCTTCTACCAGCTCCTTTTCTTCTTGCTCTTCTGCAGCTCATCATCTCCCCTTGGCTAGAGCCTTCCTTCAGGGACATGTGCCCATTTCTTCCAGGTTTTGGCAAACGCAGTGACAAAGACAACAACATTTGGTTGCTTTTAGTGGAGTAGCACATGTTCTAGATGTGAAGAACAAGGTTTATTGCTGGCTTCTTGGTGACACCTAGGCAAGGAGCAGGACACTGGATGAGGTAGGAATGAGGGATGGAACATGGGACAACCTGGGTCCTGGCATCTTCCTTGTGCTAATGGGGGAACAGTCTGAGCCAGCCAGTGTGGGTAGTTGGCTGTGCTGGTGACGTCTCCCACGGCCTCTGCACAGCCCCACCCCCAAAAACTCCTTGGACACCACTTCCCTCTACACAGACATCCCTCAGGCTGGAAAAGATTAGTGAAACCAGTGAAACCTTACATTTCCACTCTGCCTTCCAAATGCAGCACAAGACTCCATCTGAGGTAGACAAAGCATGTGAGATAGCAAAATGAGTAATGGAAAACTGAACTCTCTCCTTGTCTTCTTCCCAGTGGGTGGACTTGCAGCTGGCTCTGCTCCTGACCTTAGTCATACACAGCTGCATGGTGCCAGTGCCAGGCGAGAGTGGTGAGAACCAACACGTCAGAGGGGTGAAGACCATCTTGGCTGCAGCTCAGATGTACCCTGTGCGGAAAGGATTCTGTAAGCCTGAGAACACCAACTTGGTGCTCTTCTCTGGTCAAACAGGCCATCTAGGCTATTGGAATCATAGAATTGTTTGAGTTGGGTGGGACTTTTAAAGATCATTTAGTCCAACCCCATGCAGTGAACAGGGACTCCCACAGCTAGATCAGGTGCTCAGAGCCCCGTCCAGCCTGACCTTGGGTGTCTCAGGGATGGGGCACCCACCTCCTTTCTCGGCAACCTGTTCTGGTGCTTTACTAACAGTAACACCCTAAGACAAAACTGTAGTATTGTAACACAGCTTCATTACTCTAAAAACCGCTGAGGATCCTTGCTGCCTGAAGGCAAGTCTCACTGACAAATCCACCACCTTGCTTGGTGAACCAGCCCGTATTCAGGAGTCCCAGCGGCTTTCCCACAGATTCAGCTCCAGAGTCGCACTGCTCCAAGGGCTGGAAAGGTTTTCTTGGTATCTAATTAAATCTGTAATTTCAGCCAGTTACTCACTGTGCTGCCAAAAGCAGGCGTAAAAGGTTTGTTCACTTTCTCTTCATGTTCCACTGCGTCTTTTGTACTTGAAGGTTCTGACTTTAACACAGCTGTCTGTTTGCTGGATTAAATAACCCCAATCCCTTGTCTCACAGGATGTCTTTTCCAGCCTTGCAGTGCTTTTCCCTCCTCTTTCATGTTTCTCCATGTTCTGCATCTATCCCAAATTAGACGAGCCCTCCAACTGCCATCAGAGGGCAGAGAGCTGCAGTGCCATCCCCTCTCTGCAAGATCTGCCCTTTTCTCAAGAGCACAATCCTGGCTCGTGCATAGGATCTGCAGGTGACACAGAGCTTCTGCTTCAGTTGGCACTTCTGTTTCACCAACTCCCATTCTTTTTTCCTCCTTGGCAAGCCTGCCTCAAGCTCCAGAACTGTGTCCAGCATGCTGGCAGTTCATCCCAGCCTGGTGTCCATTGCAAACATAAAAAGCTCTGCTTGGGTTCTGAGTCATTCCTGGAAATGCTGAGCAGCACCAGATTTAGGAGAGGTTTTTGTGCAACCTTGTGGCATTAGTAACTCAGTTCTGAGAAGGGTTTTGAGCAGCCATGCATTTACGTACTCACTTTCTTCTCCCTCTCTCTTCCTCTTACTTGTAATACCACATGACACAATATAAAAAGCCTTACATGTATGCTAACATATAGGACATCTGCAGTTCACCCTTCATCTACAAGATTTATCACCTCATCACAGGAGATTGATTTAGTCTGACCAGCTCTGTTCTTGCTGAATCTGCGCTGGCTGTTACCCATATCCTCCTTTTCTGCACATTTGCAAAGGCTTTGATTGTTTCAGTGTTTCCAAGAATGGAATTAACAATGGCTGGAAAATCCCTTCCTAATGTTTTTTTCTTCTTGCCTCTTAAAGGCTGGAGCTCTGCTTACTGTGCCCAACTTTTGGAAACCACTCCAAGGGTTGCTGCTGTGTGACCAGGGCATGGCTCACCCATACCTTGAGCAATGAGTGCATTTCTGGGCTTCCTGGAGAAAACTCACGGAGGGCATGTAGTGATCAGACAAGAGGTAACAGCTTTATACTGACTGAGTGGAGATTTAGACAAGGTATAAGGAAGAAATTATTCCCCATGGGGGCAGTGTGGCCCTGGCACAGCTGCCCACAGAGCTGTTCTGCCCCATCCCTGGAGGTGCCCAAGGCCAGGTTGAATGGGCCCTGGGCAGCCTGAGCTGGTAGGTGGTGTAGAGAGACTTGGAACATGATGGCCTTTGAAGGTCCCTTCCAACTCAACCCATTCTATGATTCTTCAGTCCTAAGCAGAAAAGGGAGCCAGTGGCGACCAAGGGAGAGTGCAGCTTCCATGAAAGCAGACACTGAGTAAACTACAACTTAGAATCACTGAGTCATTGTGGTTGGAAAAGACCACTAAGTTCACTTAGTCCAACCTCAGCCCATCCCCACCATACCCACTAACCACAACTCTCAGGGCCACATCTCCACAAGTCTTGAACGCCTCCAGGGATGGGGACTCCTCCACCTCCCTGGGCAGCCTGTGCCTTCATGGAGTGGAGAAGAAACAAGTGAAGGAGGATATGGTAGAAGTACTGGAGTTACGAATGACATGGAAATAAATAAGGAAAGGCTTGAAACAACCCAAAGGAAGTATGCCTTCAAACATCATACAATTACATTGTGCAACCCATTGCCACAGGATGTCCAGGGTGCCAAAAGTATGAATGGGCTCAAACAGTGATTAGAAAATAACATGGAAAAAAATTGTCTATGAAGGGCCCTCAGAACCAATGATGCAGCTCAGGAAGTTCCTGCAGTGCAGGAACTGCTGGAAAATGGGCTCATGTACTAGAGAAAACATCATCTGTGTTTGTACTTTTCCTTATATGTCCTCTGCAGTTGTCTGCTTAGTGGCCATGTCAGAGAGAGGACACTGGGGGCTCTTAAATTTTGGGATAATGCAAAGTGGTATTTGTGTCTACAGCAATGAACCGGGAAAAAGTCACAAGCAGTCCTCTCATCCTCTTCTTTCCATTCCTCTTCTCTCTGCTCTCCCACTGCTTGGCTGCTGGATTTCAGCAGATATGAGTCAGCCTGTGACTGCTGTGTTCCTTTTGTTCTTCAAATGATGAAACCAGAACGTTTCACATTCTGCGTGGTCCAACAGAGGAGCACTTCATTGTCTCCTTGGCAAACCCTGAGGAGGAACTTCTGGCTTTGGAGAAAGTGAGGTCAGGGAGGGAGAAACTCTCCCCATAGAGGAACATGTGCAGATGGCTCCTCTGCCTCTCCCCCTTGCTTTCTCCCTTCCCTCCTCCCTTCCCTTCTTCCATTCCCTCATCCCCTACCACTTTTCCACCTCCTTCCTTCCCCATCAGAGATGGTTCTGCAGCCATTCTGGATGAGCTTGTTGAATGGCAGAAAAAAAAGTCGGATTGAAAAGGCAGGGCAACCCCAGGCTGCAGGAAATGCTGCGTTGGTGGTACGGTGATACAGTGTGGGAATGAACACACAGGGAATGAATCCCATTGGACAAGTAGAAAAGGAAGGGAAAAAAAAGCCCCGGTCCCTGCACTGTTTGCTCCCACTGCTCAGTGGACATCCAGCTGTTTCTTTTTCTTTGCTGCACTGACCTTATCTCGCACTGGAGTGAATCCAGGAACCAGTGCTCTGCTGAGCAGCCAGTGACCGAGCAGGTCAGGTTTAGGGGGAAATGAAAGCTCTTTGGCAGAGCTGGAAAAACAGATGTGCAGAGAGATTCCTTCAAACACAGCACTGCCTATGAAGCTCCTATCGTAGGGGACAGCAGCTTGAAGGGAAGCTGCTTGCAGGCATTTGGGGTTGCCGCAGGGCCAGGCGCCCTGGGACAATTATTTGCTGGCATGTTACATTAGGAATCTGAGTGATTACACGCATGGGTGGGTGCAAATGTAACGAGCATCCATACCCGGGTGTGCCTGCAGTTCAGGACAGCCAGTACCAGATCTGGTAGCAGCAGCAGTGCCCAGGTGCTGGAGGATCCTTACTTCCCCGTGCTGGGGAAGTTCTGTACCAAGAGTGGAGCTGCAGCATGGGGAAGGCAGAGCGGTGCTGGCCTGGTGCTGCTGGGTGGGCACGATGCATGTGGCCGAAACCTTCCTGTAGCATTCAGATTCCCTCAACTGCAGAGGGATTACAAAACTCTCTTTCCAGCCTGCTGCCCTCCACGACTGTGTGGTTTATAGATCAAAGTGGAATCAAATAGGAAAAAAAGGCTGTGAAAACCACTTGGAAAGCTGTTCCAGAAAATGAGGAATTTTGCAGAGAATTTAAGCATTTAAAAGCTTTAATTTGTGACTAGCTGTAGGTGTCCTCACTCGCTGGAGAGGAGTTTCACTAGATGGCCTTTTAGGGTCTCTTACAGCCAAAACGATTCCACGATTTTAGAAGTGCAAGGGGGAGGCGACGCTTCCATCCCCTGCGTGCTTCCTAGGATGGAATTCAGGTCCCGCGAGCACCAGCCCCCGCCCCCATGTATAAACTCCGCCCCCACGCCCAGACCGCGCCCACAACCTCTAGGCCACGCCCACTACTACCCGTTAGCCCCGCCCCTTCTCGTGGCCCTGCCCCTTCGCTGGTGCCGCCCCCGCCCCGCCCCAGCGGAGCGCGCCCGGGGGCGGCGGGAGCGGCGCGGATGGCCGCGGTGCTGCCGGGGGCGGCGGGGCGCGGAGCCGGAGGTGAGCGCCGGGTGGTCTCGGGATCCGCGTGTGTGCGCGGTCGTGCTGAGCGGTGGCGGGATGTCGGTGGGGTGGCCGGCGTCGTGCCGGGGGATCCGGGGTGAAAGTGGGCTGCTCGGTAGACCCTTCAGAGCCCTGTCTCCGTGCTTCTCCCCGGGGCGCTTGGGCGACTTTCTCTCCGCTTCGCCAGCAGAGGTGCGAGACGGCTGCACCCCGAGCGATGGTGCGGTGCTGTCCCGCACGAACGCGGCGGTAGGAGGAGGGCTTCCAACGGGGCTGTCCGCGGGCGGTGCTGCGCGGAGCCCCGCGGGGACCGGGAGCGGCTCTGCGCCGTCCCCAGGCGTCCGGCTCGGGGCTGGGGCCGCCGGAGAGCCGGTATTTCTCCTGCACGGAGAGAGGAGGTCGAGTTCTATGTAAAAGCGAAACGCATTGAGACAGGAGGAATAAATAAATGGTACGCGAAATGAACTTCTCCCCCTTCCTAGCCCTCCTGCCGTGGTTTGCGATTCGTGTTGAACTACAGGAAGGTCGCTGCTCGCCTGTTTTCCTCTTGCGATGGAAAGAAGTGCACTTTTTTTTCCTTTTTCCTGGACCGGGAGCAGCTGCGGGGCCGGGGGCAGCGCGGGGCTGTGCTGCTGTTGCCTTGCGAGTAATACGGCGGGGGAGATTGGCGAGACTGGGGAGGCTTTGGAGCTGGGCAGTGGGCTCGTTTTCCCGCGGGCAGTGCCTGGCTGTGCCCTGCCCACGTAGAGGTTTTTGCGGACACCTGCGTGTGTGAATGAATATGTGGTCGTTGGTGGTGAGCAGAACAACTCCAGTGGGGTTCAGTCCTCAGGGACGGCACTCTCCCAAGTGAATCTTTCAGATAAAAATGATTTTATGATAATAAAATGTCATATAGAATCATAGGATGGCTTCAGTTAGAAGGGACCTCAAAGCCTTCCCGGCTCCAACCCCCTTCCGTGGGCTGGTTGCCCCCCACCAGCTCAGCTGCCTGGGGCCCGTCCAGCCTGGCCTTGAGCACCTCCAGGGGTGGAGCACCACAGCTCTCTTCCAGTGGAGGAAGGACATTAACCAGCGTGGCTTTGGCGAGGAGGCAAAGTCACTGTGTGCTGGGATGGTGCGTGGAGGCAAGATGTGCCCCCCAGCCTTGCCTTCCCATGGGATGCACTGCAGGAGAGCAAGCGTGCCCCAAGGTCCCTGGGGATGGCAGCATTTGGGGTCACCCCCTTGATTGTCATTTATATCCCTGCATAATGGCAGTGCTTGGGGGTCCCAGCAGCAGTCCCTGCACTGCTTGTCATGGCTCAGTGCTGAGCCCTCCCTCGGCAACAGGTCTGTCACAACTGGAGCAAAGCACGTGGTGCTGTGCCCAGCACTGTGGACTGGCTCTGGTGTGATGCTGCTCAGGGTGGAGGCAGGAGAATGGGAGGATGTGCCTGCTGCACCTCCCTATGCTGGAAGCCATCAGAGGGCTGCGAGCTCATGTTCTCACTCAACTTTTTGTTGAAACTTCATGCTCATAGGAAGAGGTTTTGTTTCTTTCTTTCTTTTTTTTTTTTTTTTTGGTATTGAAGTGACTTTCTCAGCAGGTCGGGTTTAGTTGTGTTTTATGGGCACAAAGGGGGGAGAAGGTCTTAGCGCTGTCGTCCTGCTGCGGGTGAGGGCGGGAGCAGCGGGATGTGCAGGGGATGGATGCTGCTCAGTCACTTGGGAGCAGGAGCTGAAGGCAGTCACCTCATTAGCACCTTTGTGTGTAACACTTTTATTGCGTTCCCGCACTTTGAAAGCGGCTGACTCTAAATTGCAAGTAATGATTTAATAACAGAAGGCGCATAATTTTAATATATATTCTGGTGGGAAGAAGGCTTAATGTCTTTTCCCCTTAGATGGGGCGGTTAAGATAAGAATAAGGCAGCGGCTGTGCATAGGGTTGGGTTATCGCTCAGTTATGTATGTGGATGGAGCAAAGTGCTGGCTGTGTGGCTCGCTGTGTAAAAAAGGAAAAGCTTGAGAAATATGAAGATGCATAAGATAGAGTTCAGTGCCTGCATTTTCAGTTAAAGAGTACTGTACGGTCTTTGTACTATTTTTGTTCTATCCGTATCCCAGGCTCCTTTGTACGCTTGCAAGTTTGTGGGAATGACTCAGGGAGAAAGCTATTTAACCTAAAGGACACCACTGGCAGGAAACTGCCTGGAGAAAGAGCAGCACTGGGGACTGAGTGGGAACCGGGGGGACGTCTGTGTGCTGGAGGAACAGGAGCCCAAAGCTGCTCCCAAATGGGAGGAACTGGGGCACAAAATGCCCACATCAAGGCACAGCTCATGCACTGCAAGAAGGGAGTTTTATGACGTGGTTGCTGGAAGTGCCCGGGAACCAGCCTTAATGATCCCAGTGTCTTTGCAGTCCTGGGTCCTGTTTCACTTCTGTTTAATTAATGGAAAGGCTTAAATATCCAATGAAAGTGATCGTGCCAGGGCATTTCTGTAACGAGATCGCTTTTAAAGGCAGTAAGTACAGCACAGTTAGTTGTAGCTTCAGCTCCTGCTTGGTTGATGCTTTGTCCATGTTGTGGCTGGTTGATGCTGATTCCCAAGCTCCGTGCCAGCCTTTGTGCTTCACTCCTTGTCAGAGAGTTCCTTCCTGTGCTGCTTTGGCTCTGAGCAGCACCTCACCTTTTAGCTCAGAGCAGCAACGCCAACACAAGTTGTAATCATGGCACTTTGATCAAAGCAGAAATTTCAATTATTGATTCAATTCCTTGAATCCTTATTATAAATCCAGGCTGGCTCTGCATTGTAGACTCAGTGCTGTAGCCTCAGAGGTAAATTTGTACCTTATAATAAGTAGAGACACATATTTTTCTGTAAGCCGTAATGAAGCTTTGTAAAAAGCATGTCTCCTTGCTCCTCCCAGTGCAGGTTACATGGCATCCCTCTGCAAGTCAGATACCCCATCTGCAGCCCGCTTCTCCACAGCATGCCAACCTGGGAAGGTGGAAGGGAAAAAAAACCAACAACCCATGAATTATTAAAATTTCATAAAAATCATGTCCCAGCGAGATGAAAGCACTGCTGCCATCTGTGCCCCCCACACGCCCATGCACCTGATCTGCGGGCATCCGCTGGGCAGGCAGCCTGGGCCCTGCGCTCACAGCATCCATGTGATCTGCTGCCAGCTCTGTGAGCTGCCTTCCAAGGGTGGTTGCTTTGCTTTGTTCCTAACTCTGGGTTCGGCCGCTTTGTTTTTGCTGAGGGGAAATGTATATGAAAATCAGTGTGTTGGGCTGAAGTTAAATGGAAAGCGTTTGGTTATATATGCATTTAAATTTGGGGGTTTGCTGCTCCCGTTGCCTCTTCTCATTAACCTTTGTATCACGGAATCACAGAATATCCCAAGTTGGAAGAGAGCCTAAAAGATCATTAAATTCAACTCCCAGCTCTATGCAGAACCACCCAAATCCAAATCCAGTGTCCGAGAGTGCTGTCCAAACGCTCCCAAAGCTCCAGCAGCTGGGGACTGTGCCTGCTGCTCTGTTGTATGCCCGCTGTCCCGTGGGGCCCGACCTTTCCCTAACACGCAGCCTGACCCTCCTGTGATAGTTTCTCCCGTTGTTCAGTGCTCTCCTGGGTAGTGGCCTTTTTGGAAAGGGAAGTGGTAGTACCCAGCTAGAGTCTCCCAGAGCTCTTTTAGGACAGGGGAACAGCACAATGCTGTGAGCAAAGGTTCCTGTCCCTAAGTTGCAGAGGGACTGGGTTCTTGTGCATCCTGCCCAGCGCAGGGCTGGGTGGGGCATCTCGTGTCTGGGACACGGTTGTATCCCATTGGGAAATCATAGCCCAGTCTTGGTGTGGCACCAGCGGTGCTTTAACTGTCCTTGTCTCGTTTTCCTTCACCAATACTTTTCTCACTGACCCGAGATAAGTGATGAGTGCTTCATCCTTGGAAATACTCAAGGTCAGGCTGGATGGGGATCTGAGCACCTGATGGAGCTGTAGGTTTCCCTGTTCATTGCGGGGAATTCAACTGGGTGGCCTTTGAGGATCCCTTCCAACTCAAACTGTAATTTACCCAGCAACAGGGCAGAGGAAATATTCCAAAGGTGGAATGAGGTATTTATATTTCTTGCTGGCTTGGCTGTGAGACAAAAGGACAGATGTGGGCTTTGAAACGGTGTCATTTTTGTTCTGTCATTTTTGGATCCTCCTTACAGACCATGGAGGAGTTTATGGGAAAGCGCAAAGCCGCCTTACTCCCTTCTTAATTTCAGATGGCTGCTTTGGAAGGTGCTTGAAATGCTCCAGTCTCTTTTTGAGCTGCAGCACAGCTTGGGAGGAGATTATTTGGAGGACACCCACTGCTTGTGTTTGGCAGGATGGAGGATTTTGGGAGCGGTGAATGATGGTGGAGGAGCCACATGGAAAGCAGCGCCCAGTGCTGCATCAAAATAGCAGCAGGCCACGCAAAATGGGCATTTTTGGGGTGTTTCAGTAAAGATGTAAGTCACAGTAGGTTGGCTGGAAGAACACCGCCTACTCCAAATAGCTTTTGAGGAGGAAATCTGCTTCCTGGAAGTGCTGGTATTGCTATGAAGACGTGGCTTTCCTGTAAAGTCACAGCAGTATGCTTCCTATGAGGTTTTGGGTTAGATCCCTTTCAAAACCAGACCAAAACCACATCAGAAACAGGAAATATTTAAGCATCTGTGGGTCCTTGCAGCATTTCCAGCATTAATCTTAGTGAATGATTCATTGAAATGGTTACGAATCTTGAAATGAATTGCGTAGCTGTATCAGAATGATATGGCATAATTATGTGCTTATCTTCGACAAAGGAAACATGAATTGGTGTTGGGCAACCACTGAGATCTGGGAGAATTGGTAGTGAGGCAGAAATCATAGAATGTCTTGGGTTGGAGGGGACTTGAAGCCCACTCAGCCCCAATCCCTGCCGTGGGCTGATTGCTCCCCACCAGCTCAGGCTGCCCAGGGCCCGTCCAGCCTGGCCTTGTGCACCTCCAGGGATGGGGCACCACAGCCCTCTGGGCAGCTGGGCCAGGGTCTCATTGGAAATGAGAAATGAGGGAGGAGCTTGGCGAGGACCGACCAAAGCAGGAGATGTGATCATGTCTTGGAAATGGATGCGATAGATATTGGGTATACAGCAGCTGAGAGGGTTGTGTCTATGGACCAGATTGTGTATACACACTGTTGCACTACAGTGGTGGTTCAGATCAATCAAATGCAGCATGGACTTCCAGCTGTTTTTAGTTTTTTCCTTGATGTTTTAAGTTTATGGTTGGTCAGCACTCCCACTGCTTGTTAGCGAACAGAGTGGTTTTGTGGAAAGGTTTTGACTAATTGTGCTAATGGGTTTCCATAAAACTACTGTTTCAGCCACGCATTGTATCTCCCTCAGTTTTATCTTTAAATGAGTTTAAAGCATTATTTTCACCTAAAGTATTACAAAATTATGAAATTGTCAGTGCGGTCCTCTAGACTGAGGTTTCATGAGAAAGAGAGGCTCAGAGCAATGTCTCACTGCAGCATGAGCTGTGCTGGAAGAAGGTCTGTTCCAAGTGCATCCTCTGGGCAGTGCCTGAGGTCAGGGTCCTCCTGCTGGGAGCATCCTCATCCCAGTCCTCTACACTGGGGGTGGACTCAGTCCCCTTCTGAAGGTGAAGCTCCTTCTAATGACGGAGGGGCCTGTGCTAACCAAGATATCTAAGCAAGAACTAATGATGGTCAGGTTCTAAATCCTTAAGTCCAGGATTTTTTTTCTTTGGAGGCTTCAGTAACACCTTCCTCAGCAAAGTGGTAGCAGCGGATGTCGCTCTGCTTGTTTTTTCTCAAGTGACCACAACTCTGAGGAATTCTTTTGATTTCTGTACTGACCTTGTGCATGGGTATTGCAGCAGAGGAGCCTTTTCTTTGCTCCATTTGGCTATCAGAAGTTGGGTAACCCTCACTCCAGGCAGGTTGCCTTTCCCTGGAACCCTCCTGGCCCAGCTGAACTGCTCTGGTGCTCAGGACATGCCTGGATGTGGGTGGCATTCCATGGGTGCGCCCCATCTCATCCCACTCCTTGTCTTTAGCTGTGATTCCCAGCAAAGCCATCTTGTTGTGCATCTCCTCATGCGCCCTTTGCTGCAGATACAGCACTTGAAGACACAACCCGAGGGTGTCTAATGACTCAAAATACAGCATGCAGATGAATGAAAGCAAAATTTTAGTAGCAGTTTTTCTTTTAGCTTTTGTTTGCCGAGTTGTGACGCCTAGCTGATGGCTGTTTAGGTTGTCTGTAATGCCTGAAACCATTTTTTTTTTTACCCTATGTGTTTCATCCCAATCCAGTTTTTATTTGTAAAACAAGCCTGGGCTCGCAACTCTTTGTTTCAGGCAGAATTCCCGGTCTGAGGGCAGGGCTGTGTGTGTGTGCAGGAGCAGTGAAGGGTGTCTGGGATGTTGTTCTGTGCCACAGTACAGCAGTCATGTTGGAAAATGGGGTTTGGAGGTTTTCCTTGCATCTTTATCAGCACAAATGCTAGAACAGCCTTCTGTGCTAATTTTGACAAATATGTTTGGCTTATATTTGCTCAAGTGAACAATCCTCTCCTCCTTGCTCTCTAAATGTAGATAACTGCCTTACAAATCTGTGCATAACATGAATGGTGAAGCGATGAATTCATTAACATTTTGCACAAACGCCTGTTTCCTCTCCTCTGGGCGTAGAAGAATATAGTTTTTACAACTTTGTGCCTGTAATCAGGATGGGCTAGATCCTGCTGCCCTGCTTTGTGCAGGGGGTGGAGTCAGCAATAATGTGTCAGAAGAATATGCTTCTCTGCTTGTGCAAGCTCGTCCCCGTATTCATGGGCTTCCCATCCTGCTAGGATGGACAGATGCCCTGCTGGGATGCATGGGCACTCTGCTGGTGCCACTGTGACCTGGGTCACTCTGCTCCTGCTGGACATTTTCCTGGGGTTCTCAGCTACATCCATGTTAAGAACATCTGGACAAAGGGATTGGACTCCCTTGGGGGTATTGGCTTATTTTATGTCCTAGTAATTTTCTGTCTTACTGAGCTGTTATTTGTGATCAAATTTTGCAGTAAAGTCTTTCACAGACTGTAGTCCCGCTGGACATGTGGCTGTGTCCTCACCTTTTTCCCTCTTCTTTACCCATTCCTTCTTTCAGTTTTACGCCAGTTCTGTTTGCTTCGTGTCCTGGGGCTATGACTTGATTTGTGACCTTGTTGCTGTTCACAGAATGGTTGGAAGGGCCCTCTGTGTCCATCTGCTCCAAACCCTGCTCCAGCAGGGACACCCAGAGCGGGGTGCCCAGGGCCAAGCCCGGGCGGCATTGGAAGACCTCCAAGAAGGAGATTCCACAGCCTCTGTTGGCCAACCTGTAAGCCTGCTGGTTCTTGTAAGCCAGGCTGGGTCAGCCTGGCTGTGTTCCTGGGGTGGGCTGGGGCGTGAGATGGCACTGATGATTCATTGCCTCCTGGTTGTTCCTCAGCCTGACCCCAGCAGGGCCTCTCAGACACCGAACAAGGCTCAAAAATTATTTGAACTTCTGTCATTAATCCGGGCTTTATATTTTATCATTCAAATAACTTATTTACTGACATCCCACTTTTCTTCCTTGCAGGCTCCTCAGCTGCATGCTACAAGCCCACCAGCCCAGGCCAGATACTGGAAGACACTGGCTTTCTTTATCAGGACCACCAGTTGTTTGCTGGCAGGCATGACATTTCTCCACTAACAGCTGAAGCTGTCAGTGCTAAAGAAAAAGCTGGTGAGTGAGTTGCCACTCTTCCATATGAACCCATCACAGTTATGTCTGGGTTTTCCCTGAGCATTAACTAACCAGACATCATTTTTAAATATTTACTGAGATGAAGGTCACCTCCTCATCCCCAGCACAGGCAGAAGGCAGGTTCCTTTGATGGAAGTGTTATAACCCGCTGTCATTTGTCACCTGTTTCTATTTCTCCTTCTGGATGTGGTTGCTCTTCACTGAGCAGCAGGACTGAGGTGCATAGCTTCTTGCCAGCAGAACAGCACTGCTGGTCCTTCTGAACCTCAGAAACAGGCCACCGAAGTACATCCCCTGAATACAGGGATCTAATGGATGACTAGTGCAGGAATGAAAATCCTTCTGGTGTTTTGAGTATGTGACGTTGGTTTTATCTGCTTTCCTTGCTTATAGTCTAATAACTTGTACAGTGAGCTTTCTTGCATGTAAGAGAGGTTTTTTATTTCAAGTCTGCAAAACGACTATTATGGCAAGACTCCTGTGCAGTGTGATAACACAAATACAGCAGTATGACTTCACCGTAGCTTCAGGGGCATATGTGGATGGACGTTTGGCTATTGTGCAGCTAGCTGGGTGGGTTTGTATCATTGGAACTAGATGATCTTTAAGATTCCTTCCAACCTGAGCCATTCATCTTGTTGGCTGAAACACTGGCTCAGGAAGCTGGCAGACCCTCTGAGTTATGGTGTCCAGGTTGCCACCCCAGCCAGTCAGGTACTTACTGATGTTGTTCAGGGAAGGCAGAGGAGATGTGTTCTGCAGGGCAGATGTGGAGTGGAACAGCCTCCCCCAAGCTTTACAATCATTGTTAAGCTTTTATGGCAAAAACAGTGTTAGTGGAAATGGCCAGTTGTCACAGAATAAGAGTCAAGGGTTTTTCTTCTCCTCTGGCATCCAGGTTGTATACAAGTTGTCCCACGTTATGTGCAGTAACTGGTGAAACATGGGGAAACAGCAGACCTCAGGAGAAAGTTTTGCTTTTTAACAACTTTTGAACGCCAAGAAAACAAATATAAGTACTGCTGAGGAGCTCCTTTGAGAATTGGAAACAGCGGGATAGAGAAAGAAAGTTGCCAAAAATGACCTCAAAAACTGAACTCAGAACAGCACCTCCTCCTCCTTGCCTAGGAAAATGGGAGGACTCTGCAGAGCTGAGGGCTGATTTTCACCCACCAGGAGCACTCCTTTGGATGCAGACACAAATGCTTTACACCTCTTTGGGATGGGTTCATGGGATTCAGCTGGGAGGATTATGCCATTAGGTGCCTTGCTCCAGGCAAGCTTCAATGTGTGCATCACTTTCTATGACTTATGCCCACATTGCTGTGTAGAACAAACAGGACTAAGATGAAGAAGGGAGCTGGAGACTGTTTTGGTATTTCACCTAATTCCTCAGCTGTGTGCCTTCACTTCAGTTACAGCATCTGTAAGACCTTATCCCATACAAACGCATCTTGTGAGGCTGGGTGAAGAAGTTATATGAAGAAGTTGTCTCTGTATTACTTCAGTCTATGTTATGGTTGTCTGTCTGATCTGTGATGCTTAAAGCTCTGGTACTACATTGCAACCTTAACGTCTTCCTTGTATTCACCCAGCAAAATTACAAAAGTTGGTACTGACTTGCACAGAATTAGTGTTATTGGCCAGAAGGGAAATTGCAGTTTTAAGAAAGAATGCCAGAGCACAGATTCCTCTTTAATTACGCTCCCAGAGCTCTTTTATTTTCAGTAGGATTTTAGGCTTTTTCTGTGACACATCCTGTGTTGTATCTTATTGTGGCATGCAGTGCACTTGTGAGGGGATTCAGCTCTCTAACTTCAGCTGTCAAAAATGCGCTGATTTGGTATTGCTATGGAGGCTCCTCTGTAATCTGTGCCAGGCATCTCCAGAGAGAGATTTACCCAATTCCTGTCTTAGAGAGATCACGTTTCCCTGTCCCACCATTGACTGAGGTTGGAGCCATGGGTATGGGGCATGTGGAGAATGTTGAGGGGAGGGCTGGGGAAGGGATGGGGTCACTTAGCTTAATCAGAATTAGGGGTGAGCTGCCATAAGGAGATGAGAATGGTACAGCCGTGGGGGGTAAGAGGAGCAGAGAGAGTGAGGCCTCTGAAAGTAGAACGGTGCTGTTCTCAGGCGGCCCAGAACAAGGTGTTCTCCTAACCACTGCCTTCTCTTCCACCCAGCCGAGGAAACCCTCTGCACCTTGCACCCTCCAGCCTTCCTCCGGAGCTCAGAGGTGGAGATGCGAGGCTCGGAGGAGGTGGCAGCCGGCACGGTCCTGCAGCGTCTGATCCAGGAGCAGCTGAGGTATGGCAACCCCAGCGAGAACATGAACCTGCTGGCCATCCAGCACCAGGCAACGGGCAGCGCCGGCCCCTCCAACAGCACTGCCAGCACTCTCTCTTCCACAGAAAACCTCGCGCCCGAGGACCCACAAATGGTCCAGCCGTCGGCGCGGCAGGAACCGCAGGGGCAGGAGCACCAGGGGGACGGTGCTGCGATGGAGAAGCAGCCCCGGGCCGCGCAGCCCCCACACAGCAGCGAGGAGCTCCCCACCTACGAGGAGGCCAAGGCCCAGTCGCAGTATTTCCGGGGGCAGCCGCCGGCAGGGCCGGGATTTTATGTCGCCGGCACCTCTGGCCAGAAGTCCAGGACTGAGGGGAGGCCGACGGTGAGCCGGGCCGGCAGCGGGCAGGCGCATAAGGACGATGCGCTGAAGGAGCTGAAGCAGGGCCACGTGCGCTCGCTGAGCGAGAGGATCATGCAGCTCTCACTGGAGAGGAACGGGGCCAAGCAGCACCCGCCTGCCCCGGCAGGCAGCAAGGGGCCGAAGGCCGCCCCAACACCCAGCAAAGGCATGGACCCGCGGGGCCCGCCGCCCGAGTACCCCTACAAGGCCAAGGTGGCGGCGGCGGTGTCCCCCAGCAGCAAGGCCCCTGATCATGGGCTCTTCTATGGCGAGCAGCACCCGGCAGGGCCGCAGGACGTCCTCAAGGCCTCCTTTGTGGCCCCGCAGCCCTCCAGGACCGAGGTGGCCGTTGTCCGTTACCAGCCGCCCCCAGAGTATGGGGTGACCAGGTAATGCCTGGGGTGCGGGCCTGGCAGCCTGTGGCCACAGGGGTCTGGTTGCCTTCAAGGCTTCCTCTTTCACCACCCTTTTAGTTCTTGGTATGGAAAGGGGGGAAAATTCCTAGCTGTGCAACCAACCTCGTGTCCAGCTCTTGTTTGGGTGTTGAAGTGCCGGGGTGGCAGCTGGGCTGTAACTGTTGTAATTCATGTGGAAGAGTTTGCAGATGAGATTTCACCTGTAACTGCACAAAGAGCTCTCTCTGAGAATGTGGGAGCTTATAACCTAAGCCCTGTATCCTTGAGATCTTCAGAACCCCAAACTAAGGAAAGAAAGTGGAAAACCTGCATGAAGCTTAATTGTGAGATAGAGACGTCTCTTTATTTCAGGCCTTTCTCTTTGCTCGATAGGGGGGGGGGGAGGAACTGTTCGCTTTACAAAGAGGGCTAGATAAAGTGTATACATCACTTAGGCCCTACTTAAATCCTCCAAACAAAGCTTACATGAGACTTTTATGGAGCTTGGCCCCTTGTGCTGGGCCTCTGCATGAGGATGGTTTTATTCCAAGCGCATTACAAATAATCCACAGTGTTTATTTCCTGTGAGCTGATTGCTGAGAGCCACACGGCTCCTGCCAGCACCGCGCTGCCTGGCTCTAAGGCGGGGGCTGGCCTGTGCCATGTCACAGCTTCCTTCATCATCTGTCCATCCAAAGCTGTTTTTCTTGCTCTTCCTAAACGCGAGTGATTCTCCATTTCATCCTGCAGCCTCCTAGGCAGTATTTTGCCAGCCTTGCTGGGTGGGTTCAGAACCTGTGTTGTGCAATTGTGGTTTTCATTTTAGAGGTTGCTTAATTAGGTTTTCACTGACACAAAATCTGCAAAGATCTTGATGGCTCTGACTCGGTGCACTTGTTTTTCTGTAGAAAAATCAGGGAGTAAATGCTCTTGTTGGAAAAGTGAAGCTTTTACTTTGAACCAGGTGTGAATTTGCTTCAGTAAATGCTGCAAAACGGTTGTAACTTGGAAAAGACCTGTGCCGTCCCTCTGAGTGGGCAGTGCTGCAGGTCTTCCTCTGACAATCATGTTTTGCTTACCAGTGCTCCCTGCACAGAGCCTGGGTAGTTTTTCAGAGCAAAATGATATTTTAAAGAGCTAAGTGAAAATCTGTTTATTCTGAGAGACATCTATAGGAACTTGAGAGCTACAGGGTCAAGTTGAGGCTGTGCTCTCTGGAAGCCCTAGCAAGGCTACAGCAGCTGTTCATTCTGCTAACAAACATCTCCAGCACTGGACTCATCTGCACATAAGAGCAGTTAGTTTGGGGTTTTGTTACTGCTCTTGGAAGATGCTGATTCAATAGCCAGTTCTGCTGAGCCTGTTCTGCTGAGTCCATATAGCCAAGCAGACCTGGGCACTGTGCTAACTTCTGTGGCTAACTGGGAATGGCACTGCTGTCAAATAAGGAACCCTTTGATGCTGGTGTCAAAACTTTTCCAGGGACCTGGTCAGTAGGGGTGATACTGAGAAATCTCATGATTGAATGCAGCTTTGCATGCCAGAAAAAAGGAAAAAAGCACAAAGCTGCATTGATCTGTAGGAAAAACCCACAGATATCAGGATTGGAAATGACCTGTAGGGCCACTGATTCCCTGCCTTGCCCCACAAGTCCTCATGTGAGGAGGGAAGTGTGGCTAGGGACCCACACATACTGGCAGGTAACTGCTGAGGGAGATGGAATAACCACAGCTGCTGCTTAATTTGATGTTTGTTCTCCTGTGGCTGGTTGTCAAAGGGAATGCTGCCTTTATAGTCACAGTGGTGAAATCTCATAACTTGTCTGTAAATAGCAGTAGGACTGAAAACAGGGTGTAGGATTTGATACTACAGACACGAGTAGTGGGGTTGGAGTAGATGATCTTGGAAGCTCCCTTCCAACAAGGCCTCTGAGATGATCAGAGGGATGGAACACTCTCCTGTAAAGAAAGGTTGATGAAACTGGGATTGTTTAACTTGGAGAAGAGAAGGCTCCAGAGAGACTTCATTGTGGCCTTCCAGTACTTGAAGGGAGCGTATAAACAGGAGGAGGAACAGCTGTTTACGTGGATTGACAGTGAAAGGACAAGGGGGAATGGTTTTAAACTGAGACAGGGGAGGTTTAGGTTAGATATTAGGGTGAAGTTTTTCATAGAGGGTGGTGACGCACTGGAACAGGTTGCCCAAGGAGGCTGTGGATGCTCCATGCCTGCAGGCATTCAAGGCCTGGCTGGATGTGGCTCTGGGCAGCCTGGTCTGGTGGTTGGTGACCCTGCACATAGCAAGGAGGTTGAAACTGGATGATCTTTGAGATCCTTTTCAAGCCAGGCCATTCTAAGATTCTTTGAACTCAACTATTCTATTCTAAATCTAGATACTCAGTGTTATTCTGAAGACCTCTTATTCGTAGGCTTCTGCAGGAGCCATGGTATTTATATAAATTACACTTGGTGACCTGTCCTTTGTGGAGACCGTGATTGTAGAGCAGAGCTTAAAGCCTGTGGCTTAAAAGGCCAAAAGCCCATAAGGCAAATAAAGAGGAGCCAATATTTATTCTTATTTTAAATTATCAGTATTTTTCAATTGGTTATGGTGCCTTGCGCCCTGACTCACAACTTCTGAATGCTTCAAGTTGGCCAAGTGTAATAGTCTTGAAAAAGCTTTTCCTTTCCTCGTTGCTAGCTTCTAGCACATCTGTTCCTGAAGAATATCCATGCTAACTTTCCTGAGGTGCATGCTCAGAGAGGTCACAGCTTGTCAGGTAAAAGGGGTTTGAAATAATCTAAATTGATCACACAAAACCACAAATTAATTTCGGTTTTCATAACGTTTGGTCTGGTGGTTGTAACATTCTCCAGCTGGAGAATCCATCACAGACTTATTCCACTCGCTAATTGCCCCTTCTGGCACAGATCTGTGTCTTAGTTCCAGCCTGTATTTTCTAGTTACCAGTCTGGATTTTGCAATATCTTTGTCAGATAGTGAGGAGTGCTGTGCTGTCCTTTCTTTAATGCATTAAACAAATGGAGCCTGGAGTCCCTTAATTATTTTACTGCTTTCAAAAAAAAAGAAATCCAACAACCCAACCCATAGCCTTTTCTCATAGAAAACTTAACCAGACACGAGGCAAATAAGACATAACATCACCTCTGCAACACAGCTCAATGTTCCTTGTTTGTGTATCTCATAAACACTTGCTGTGTCAGAGGTTGGCCTGTGAGGAGCTCACCATTCAGCTTGTTACCCACTCAGACATGTGAGGGTAGTGGCAGCCCAGGATAGGGTTCCCCACTCTTTGCTTGTAGCCTGCTGTATTTATTCCTGAGTGGATGAGCTTGTATTTGGACGTGCACAAGTACATATTGTTTCTTCATGCTCTGCTTAAGCAGCGATCCACATCGCTCAGGGTGAGCAGTGAATCCTTTTCATTGCCCCCCGTGGCACCAGTCCAGTCCTGTATGATTTCCTCATGCAATTAATGTGAATGAGGCCTTAAACTGAAACAACACTCCTTGCTGAGGGGTCTTCATTTGTGGTGATGTGAGGAAGTCTTTCATGTGGTCATCTTTTAATTCTGATTTAATCCGTGTATTTTAAAAGACAGCATGAAACTGACAAATGGACTTAGGCTATTTTAAAGCTATGACACTGTTTTATATACTCAAAAACATTCCACCTGGCCTGGATATAGAAGCCTATACTTAACTGCTGGGACAGCCTGTGGCTTCTCCAGATGTGTGTGTATTTAACCTGCCCCACACGTCACTGCTGCTTTCAGACAACCTGTTTATAGTTACTCATTCAATCACGTCTGCACCCACCGAGGCGATACAGTGTGGTCCTTTCACTCCCTGAGGTGCCCAGGAAAGTGAGGGTTGGTGGAGCTGAGGGATGTCACTGGCACCGGCACCAGTGTTGGGCACCCACACTGACTTTGGCTGATGTGCTTCAGTGAGGTCAGCAGCAGTGTAAGCATGGTTTGAGGCAGCACTGCTGGCTGGCGTGGATGCTGGCATCCACAGGGAAGGCTGAAGGCTTGCATCAGGTCCTGGAGGCTGACAGTGTCCCTGCAGAAGAGATTTTTATCATCTCCTGGTCTAGTCTGTCTTTCAGTAAAATAAAGAAGAGATGAAACTGTTCCAGCAACTTTTGTGAAGCCAGTGTCATTTCTCATTCTCCTCTGCTTTTATCCCAGTTGCATCCTCTGTGAAGGTGCAGAAAAATGGGGCTGAGGAGCACACCTTTTCCTTTGCTGGAAATTAACTGGGCTTTAGAAAGGATGTTTGTGAAGAAATAAGGTATCCTCTTTTAACTGTGGAGGATATGTTTAATCACAGAATCATTAAGGCTGGAGAAGGCCCCTAAGGTTACTTAGTCTAATCCCAGCCCACCCCACCATGCCCACTCACCACATCCCTCAGTGCCACATCTCCACGGATCCTGAACGCCTCCAGGGACAGTGACTGTACCACCTCCCTGGGCAGCCTGTGCCACTGCATCACCACTCTACCTGAGAAAAAAATGTTTCCTGATATCCAACCTTAACCTTCTCTGGTTCGTCTTAAGGCAGATATGGTGTATATTTTTAAATGATTTTTCCATGCAGAACATAACACAATCACCTCCAAAGTAGTTGGATGACAACTTTCCAGCACTAACAAGCATCACTATCAAAACAGTGAATTCTAGAGATGAGTCCAAGTGTGCAAATTGGTTTTGAAATAAACCAGAGTGCTTGGACTGTTGCTTTTCCCATAAAACAGGATATTATAAAGACTGTGCTTTGGCTACTGAAAGTCTTCTCCTGTTTCTGGCAGCATCAGCATTTAGTAATGGATATCTAGGCTGTTTCCTTGCACCATGACCAGCAGACTGGGCTTACTGACTTCTCTGATGTCCTGCCTTTTCCCCATGTGTAGGTATCACTGCATTTAGGTGCAGCATCCACAGCAGATAAGGATGTGAGGTGAAATGCT